GATGATGATGATGATGGTGATGATGATGATGATGATGATGATGATGATGATGATGACAATGATGCTGATGATGACGATGATGATGATCACGATGCTGATGCTGATGACCATGATGGTGATGATGATGGTGATGCTGATGACGCTGCTGATGATGACCATGATGATGATACTGTTGATGATGATGATGATGATGATGATGATGATGATGATGATGATGATGATGATGGTGGTGATGATGATGATGATGATGCTGATCATGATTATGGTTGTGATGACGATGCTGATTTTTATGATGAGTATGATGATGCTAATTATGATGATGATGCTGATGATGATGACGAGAATGATGATGAGGGTGGTGATGGTGGCGATGATAATCAGGGTGATGGTTATGAGGATGAGGAGGATGACGATGATGCTTGGGATGATGAGAATGATGAGGATGATGACGATGATGAGGACGATAAGGAGGACGAGACGGACGAGGAGGAGGAGGAGGAGGAGGAGGAAGAGGAGGATTGCGGGAGGAGAGTCGTCAGGAGGAGGAGGAAGAAGAAGAAGAAGAAGAGGAAGACTGTGGGAGGAGAGTAGAGGGAGGAGCGAGAAAGGAGGAGGAGGAGGACGAGGACGAGGAGGAGGAGGAGGAGGAGGAGGAGGAGGAGGAGGAGGACTGCGGGAGGAGAAAAGAGGGAGGACGAGAAGGGAGGAGGAGGAAGAGGAGGAGGACGAGGAGGAGGAGGAGGAGGAGGAGGAGGACGAGGTGGGGGTGGAAGAGGAGGAGGAGGAGGAGGAGGAGGAGGAGGAGGAGGAGGAGGAGGAGGAGGACGGGAGGGGAGGAGGAGGAGGAGGAGGAGGAGGAGAGGAGGAGGGGGGGGATCGGGGTGTGCGGGCGACGACGAGGTCGAGGAAGATGATGATGAAGGGGGCGAGGAGAAGGAAGGAGTCTCGTGTCCGAAATACGCCTCGACGCCCGCAACCGCCCGCCGCAACGCCCCGCGCGTGTGCTCAACGCTCACGAAGCTTGCCACGCCCGACAGCGTGAACTTGGGCTCGGGCTCATGCTGGGAGGGACTGCCTTCCCCCAGGCTGACGCGGACAACGCGGTCGCCGCCGAAGCGCGCTGAGAAGGCCGCCAGGACCTCGGCCGCGAAGGAGCCGTCGCGGTCGTCGCTGCCGTCGAAGCCGTGCGCGCCTCCCATCAAGACGTACACCTGTCGGCTGCACGCAGGAGTGGCCCATGGGCAAGAGTGACCTGTGGTGCGCGGACCAGGGGGGCGCAAGGTGGTCAAATCCGAGCGCGAGATCGGCTGCTGTCGCCTCGCGCTCGGCGATTGGAGGGACCACGATGCGCCCGCACCGAAGGTCACTCTGGCGAAGGGTCACTCTGACGTCCAGTCGAGCCTGGCCGGAGCGCGAGCTGCGCCCTCCGCCCAGCTCCACGAGCCGGTCGTAGGACACGTCCGGGCGCGACGGCGTGAACGCGAGAACCGCCGCGGCCTCCGGGAGGCGCGCGAGCTCCTCCCGGAGGCTCTCGAGCTGCTGCCTCCGCGCCGCCTCCAGCGAGCCCTGCGCCTCCCCGGCCAGGCGCCACTCGAGGCCGCAGAAGAGGCCCCCGGCGCCGCGCGACCACCACAGCGCGTCCTCCCACAGCTGGTGCGCGGCCGGGCCCGCCGCGGGCATGGCCCACTCCTGCACCGAGCCGCCGAGGTGGACGCTGCCCTGCCCCACGTAGGCGGAGGCCCGCACCTCTCGGCGGCACGCGCGAGTCACCCCGGCGGCACCGCCAACGGCGTGGCGGCCAAGCGCCGACGCCCCCTTATCCGCCTACGCCCAACGGTAGCGGCGCGACGGACCTGGTCACTTCCGATCGCGACGAGGCCCCCCCCCCCGACCCCCCCGCGGCGGAGGCCCGCACCCCGACGTGCTGGCGCTGACGAGCTGCGCGCGCAGTGCGTACTCCCGCAGCCAGCGTGGATCCATGTCGCTGCTGATCCTACGCGTGGTCGGATCATAGCGGAAGGAGGTGGGGGCCCGTGGGCTTGCATCCAGCGCCACTCCTGCGAAAAAGGTTACGCTTCATTGCGCAAGGCAGATCCTCGCTGGCGAGGACCTGCCCCTCTCGGCTACACGTAGCTAAGAGTGACCCCAGGCGCGAGTGACCTGTGGTGCGCGGCTTGACGGGGGACGCGGGGTGGGCAAACCTGAGCGCGCAAGCCGCTAGTACTTACTGCTTCGCGGTCAGCCATCTGCGGACCCTTCTGCGCCCGCACCAGAGGTCACTCTGGCGAAAGGCCACTGTTACTTGCCATCGCTCGGACGTCCATTCCCCGTGCCTTTCTTGGCTTCGCGCGCGCCTTTCTCGGCTTCGCGCGCTTGTTTTCCAGAACATGATCCAGGGTGCTCCTCGATGGTCCCCGCCGAGAGGTGCACGCGTCCGAGCGATGCCGAGCTTCTGTTTCGCCGAGCATCTCGCGGGGCCGCCGGCGCAATGCCCCCCAGCATGCGGGGTGGGGGTCCAGGCCCCCCCCCCAGTACCTCGAGGGGAGGGGGGGGGTTTTGCCCAGGGCGCAGCCAAACCGTATAACCAGGACGCACGCTGAGGATGCAGGGGCCGTGGGAGGCCACGTCGGCACTCTGCGAGCGGGGCGCGGCCGGCGAGAGCGGCCAAGGATGGGCCGCGGGGGAAAGATGCCAGGGCGACCTTGGGAAGTCGCTCATCCTAACCATGCGGGCTGCCTATCACGAGCGTCACCCTGGCCCAGAGATCCGATGTCGTGATTTTTTCAATGCGCGGTCCCCGGAGGTCTCGACCCATTCCCCAAGACCGGTTTTTCATCCTGAGTCGTTTTCTGACGGTCCGAGGGCCCGGCGAGGGCCTGTAGAGGTCGAATATTGAGAAAAACCTCCGTCTTGATCTTTTCAATACGTTGGATCTCTGGGGGGGAGGAAGCGACAACAAAAACGAACGCTCACCTCGCGGGGCCACCGGCCGTCCATCGTGAGGGCCTGGAGCAGCCCGTCCAGCAGTGCGTCCCAGCGGTGCCGGGCGCCGCCGCGTGCCAGGGTCCAGCCCTCGGCGCCCTCCGCGCCGCCCTGGAAGATGCAGAGGTGGAGCCCGCCCTCGCCGCCGGGGCCGCGCCGCGAGGAGCCCGGACGCCAGAGCCGCGCGCACTCGGAGCGGATGCTCCGACGCAAAAAAGATGCGCCGGACAAAACAACACCCAGAGGATGCAAAAGAGCTGGGCGAAGCTCCCCGCCTCAGAAAAATAGAGCGGGCCTCTATGTCAAGGTCGATGTGTAGGTGCAGATGCATGCTTGTAAAGTTATAGACATATGTGTACACAACCATACATACATACGCACATACGTGCATACATACATACATACGTACACATGTTTGCACGCACAGGTCTCAGTACGTGTATGTTTCGATGCATATACATATTATATATATATGCATAACTCTTTATGTGTATGCATATGTATGTGTATACGCATTTGCACAATCATATGTATAGGTATACGTCTATGGATGTGTATATGTGTATGTGCATATGCATGTGTATGTGCATGTGCATGTGTATGCCTCTATGTGCTTGTGCATGCATGTATACATGCATGCATGTATGTGTGTATGTATGTGCGCATGCATGCGTGCGTGCATGCATGCATGTATGTATGTGTGGGTGCATGCATGTATGCATTAATGCATACATGCATACATGCATGTATGCATGCATGTATGTTTGTGTGTATGGATCGGTGTACGTGGTTTTGGATGTGTATATATATATATATGTATATATGTGTGCATGTGAGTATTTGTATGTATGTATGGATGTACCTATTTATATATGAATTGTGTATATGTGTGTATGTACGTATACCTACATTCACGCATGTATACATACATACATAAAGTCATCACGCACACATCGAGTACGGGAGCCGTTTGAATCAGTACAGCTATGTGTAAGTATATGTATGTATGCATGTATGTATGTATGTATGTATGCATGTGTATGACAGGGGGATGGATGGATGTATCTATGCATGCATGTACGTATGTATTTATGTATGTATGTGTACATGCATAGACAATGAATGCGGGAGCGGACTGCATCAGTACAGCTACGTGTAAAATCAAGCTGCGTGTACATATATATATATATATATATATGTGTGTGTACATACAGACAAGACTTCGCCAAACTATGAGGGACACAGCGACGGCAAAGTAGAGCGGACATCGGCATCGCCATGATGTCCAACACCTCTGATACCGATTGCCGCCCTGCTCCGCTGTCGCTGCTCCCGCCATGCGTCTGCGAAGAAACCCGCCCTGCTTTTCTGGGGCTGGCACTTCTCTGCACCCTTTGGGGTGCACTTCGAACACACATCGGCGGCGAGCCCAGGGGGGGAGTGAGAAGGGGAGGGCCTTCTCGGAAGGCTCGGAGGTCCCCCGGCCCTCTGATCCAAGCGTTCCCCGAAGACACGATGAAAACTTCTCAGAAGGCGCGAGGGCTTCTGAGACGTCCCGCCACCTTCTGAGGAGGCCTTCTCCTTCTCACTTCCCCCCTCGCTCGCCGCCGAACAATCTCAATGGGAGGATGAACCAAAGTACGCCGGCTACACGCAACAGTGACCCGAGGCAAGAGTGACCTGTGGTGTGCGGCTTAAGGGGGCGCGAAATGGCCAAATCCAAGCGTGCAAGCAACCGCTATCGCGTCGCGCTCAGCGATCGGGGGGACCCCAATGAGCCTTTCCTCCTCCTCCTCCTCCTCCTCCTCCTCCTCCTCCTCCTCCTCTTCTTCTTCCTCTTCCTCCTCCTCCTGTTCCTCTCCTCCTCCTCCTCCTCCCTCCTCCTCCTCATCCTCCTCTTCCTCCCCTCCTCCTCCTCCTCCTCCTCCTCTCCCCCTCCTCCTCCTCCTCCTCCTCCTCCTCCTCCTCCTCCTCCTCCTCCTCCTCCTCCTCCTCCTCGCGTGCGGCCGAGCACGGCGGGTCCGGCGTCGGGAGGAGGGGCCGCTCGGGGCGCCCCCGGCGCAGGCGAGCTCCGCGCCCGGCGGCGGGGCCCGGAGCAGGCGCCTCGCGCGGATGCCCGCCTCGCCCCTTGCCGGCACCAGAGAGCGAGCGACAGCCCCCCCCCGCCCACCTACACCCTGCGAAATGCTTAAGAAATCATGGGTTAAGAAATTCATAGTCTCAGAATTTGAATAAAAACCCAGAACTTCTATCAAAATCTTAGGATTTACATTGAAACGGTAAGAATAATCGAGACTCTGGCGGAAAACTTAGGTTTTCTTAAGCATCGCCTAAGGTGTACTAAGGGAACGAAGAGTGGCATAGACATAAAAACTCGGAGGTCCGCGCGGATGTCTCGGATCGGCGCTGGATACTCCCCTGGCGGCGCCTCCCTGGCGCCGCCCCCGGCGCGCTCCGCGCGCCAGGGAGGCGGGTCCAGCGCGGATCCGAGAAATCCGCGCGGGCCTCCGAGTTTTTATGTCTATACCATTCTTCGTTCCCCCAGCTGCGGCCCCACGGGGCTTAGCGCGCGGCAGGTTCGTGCCGTGCCGACCTCGGCGTTAGTTTTTCTGACACCGCGGGGATCGCTCAACCTGGAACGAGCGGCCGCTTCCGAAAACGTCCGACTCGTCCCACGTCGAACGATTCTGGGTCGCCCGCGGCGTTCGAGGTGGAACGCCGCTGGCGGGGTCGCCGCCAGTCGACACGACACGAATCTACCGCATACCAGTGAATCTGGCGTGCTTTTTGTTGTCGCAACAAGAGAGAGAGAGAGAGAGAGAGAGAGAAAAAAAAAAAAGAAAGAGAGAGAGAGAGAGAGAGAGAAAGAGAGGGAGAGAGAACGACGCAACGCAGGCGCGGCGGCAGCAGAGAGCCCCTCGAACGCGACCCTGGGGCGCAAAACACCCTTCAGCTCTCGGCGACAGCCGAGGGTTTGAGGCACACTGCGGCACCAGTCATCTGGACACCACGGCGTGGGCTTTTTTGCGTGGCATGCGCAGCGGCCCCCGATGGGCCGTGGCGCAACATGGAGGGCCAATAGATGGGGTGGTGCCGCTTGCTCTCGGGTCGGCCTGTCCAGAGCCAGGAGCACCGCGCTGCAACAGATGGCGTCGGGCTCCAGTCTCGCCCGCCGCATCTCTCCGAGAAGCGCCAGCGCTCGCTGCCACTGGTTGCCCTTCTCGCACGCGCTCACCCCGGCGCTGTAGCTGACGAGTGTGAACCCGTGGATTAGATCCTCGGTGTGCCGAACCTGGGGCTCGCAAGCCGTGGGCGAACAGGTCGAAGTTGAACAACAGCTCGGGCGTCCCTGGGGCCGTGTCGGGGGCATGTTGGGCCCTCCTGCGAGCCTGTCTGGGGCGTATTGGAGATTTCTTGCGTTTTTGGGGCGCCTCTGGGGCCGTTCCCGGGCTGTCCCCAAGCGCCTCTTCTGGGGGACAGCCCGGGAAACTCATTGTGCGTGCGTGCTGTGAGGTCGCTGTCAGGTCCCCCCTGTCACCTCTGAGGGCAGCTGCAGGGTTTGCTCTAATTAGGGCCGGGGCTGGAGGCTGTCTTCGAATATCCTGGGAGTCTGCGCCCTCTAGTGGTCCAGGGAGGGATCTCGTGGTCTTCGGGGCTGTTTCGGGGGCCACCGGATCGCTCCTGGGAGCTCCGTGGGAAATATGGGAGTCTCCTCCAGGGCCGTTCTTGGGAGCTCCGTGGGAACTGTCGGAGTCTCTTGGCAAGCGTCGGAGTCTTGTGTGCGACTCTGAGGCATCTCGGAGTGGCCCTGGGGCCGGTCTTGGAAGCTCTCTGGGGCATCTCGGAGTGGTCTGGGGCCTGCCTTCTTTGGCGGCGTTTGGGGTTCGAGAGACGGCGAAAGGGTGTCGTTGCTCGAGGCCTTTCCTCGGGTGCTCCTTGGGAACTATCGGAATCTCTTGGGAGACCCTGGGACATGTGGGAGTGGTCCCTGGGGGGTTCTTGTACCATTAGGGGCTGCGGGAAGGACGTCGTCTGGACTCCCTTTGGCCCATCTTCGAGCCCTCGTTGGGATCTCTCCAGAGCCTCTAGGGGCCCTCTTGGCCTATTTCGAAACATTTTTGGGCTGTTTCGGGTGACTCTTGGGCCGTTCTGGGACCACGTAAATAAGTGGGTCTCGGGCCGTCTTGGAGCTTGCATTGGTGCCTGTTGGGCAGCTCCTGGGGCCCTCTTGGGGCTGTCTTGGGGGCCACCAGGAGCTGTATGAGGCTGTCTTGGGCTTCCCCTGGGCAGTCTGCGGGCCCTCTGGGGCCGTCTTGGGGCACTTAACTAGCGGGGCCTCCTGGCCTCCTGGACCGTCTGGATTCTGGGATGGCCCTGGAGCCGTCTGGGGCCATTCTTGGGCCGAGATGGCGAGAACATGGAAAACCTTCAAACCCCCCCCCCCCCAAAAAAAACCTATGATATTGGCCTCGGGGGATCGTCATCGGGGTCCAGTTCAGCCGTTTCCGAGGCATCTGGCCCGTCGTCGGGCCGTCTTGGGCTGTCATGGGGCTCCGTTTGGGTCCTCAGTGGGCTCCGGGTCGTCCTCACGCGCTCCGGGGCGTCTCAGAGCTGTCTTGGGGCCGTCAGCGGCCGTCTTGGGGCCACCGAGGGGCTCCCTGAAGCCGTCGGAGAGCGTCAGGCGCTTCGGGCGCTCGGGGACAGCTTTTCCACTACAACCCCTCTCCGCACGCGCAACGCCCAGAATTATAATACAGATAACGTCGGGCTCAAGTCTCGACTCCCTCATATCGATCAGAAGCAAGAGCGCTCGCTGCCACTGGTCGCCCTTCTGGCACGCGTCGACCCCAGCATTAAAACCGATGATGCCAGGCTCAAGTTTCGCCTCAAGCATCTCGCTGAGCAGCGCCAGAGCCTGCTGCCACTGCTCGCTCTTCGCGCACGCGCCGATCCCAGCATTGTAGCTGATGGCATCGGGCTCCAGCTTTGCCACCCGCATCTCGCTCAGCAGCGCCAGAGCCCTTTGCCACTGGTCGCCCTTTTCGCACGCGCTGACCCCAGCGTTGAAGCCAATGACGTCGGGCTGCAGCTTCGCCTCCCGCATTTCGCTGAGAAGCGCCAAAGCCTGCTCCCACATCTTGCCCTTCTCGCAGGCGCTGATCCCAGCGGTGTAGCTGATGATGTCGGGTTCGAGCTTCGCCTCCCACATCTTGCTAAGCAGCGCCAGAGCCTCCTGCCACTGTTTGCCCTTCTCGCACGCGCTGATCCCAGCATTGTAGCTAACTAGGGCAGACCTGTGGACTCCGTCCACGACATCAGCTCGACGTGGCGAGGGGTCTCTGGGCAAGCGCGGGGGGGTGCGGCTGCAGGGCCGAAAGGCAATCATGATGGCGTCGGGCTCCAGCTTGGCTTTCCATTTAGGGCTTCGTGGGGGCCGTTTGGGGATCTCTTGGGGCGTTTTGCCTGCGATATGCCTGTCGCCTCTCGTCCGCTCCCCCGCTCCTGGAGGGAATTCTGAAGGCACTGAAGGCTTCGTGGGGGCCGTTTCGGAGCCTCTTCGGCCTTCGTTTGGGCCTCCCGGGGGGCTCTTAGGGCCCTCTCGGGCCGTCTTGGGTGCCTCTTGGGCCGTCTTGGGGCCGTCTGAAACCCGCCTCGGCGCCTCTTGGGCTGTCTTGGGCCGTCTTGGGCCGCTCCTGGGGCCGTCTTGGGTGCCTCTTCGGCCGTCTTGGGCGCCTTCTGGGCCGTCCTGGGGCCGTCCTGGGGCGTCTTGGGACCGTCTGGGGGCCCTCCTGGCCCGTCTTGGGGCTCTCTTGGGGTCCTCTTCGGCCGTCTTGGAGCGGTCGGGGGGGCTTCCTGGGCCGTCTTGGAGCGTCGGGAAGCCGACGAGGCGAGGAGGCCGAAAACATCGAAAAACACAATAGAAATCGACGATTTCTGTCGCTCGGGGCCCTCTTGGGAGGCCTCTTGGGAGGCCTCTTCGGGCGTCTTGGACGCCTCTTGGGCCGCCTGGGGCGAATCTCGGGCGTCTTGGGCCCATCTTTAAGCGTGCCGGGGCTCTCCGGGGCCGTCTTGGGGGCTTCTGGGGGCCCTCTCGACGTGTCCTGGAGCCTGCCTGGGCGGCCCGGGGCGGCCCAGGGCCAGCCCGGGGCGGTTTTGGTGCATTGGGGCCTGCGCCATTCTGGCACGCACTGGGCCCTGCAATGTAGTAGAGACTAGGGCAGACCTGTGGACTCCGTCCACGACATCAGCTCGACGTGGCGAGGGGTCTCTGACCACGATGGCCAGTTGAAGGCGCTCTCCACACCCTCCAGGACCTCCTGCTCTCCTGTGTTCCTCAGCTGCTGCTGCTGCTCGGAGGTCCTGCTGCTTCCTCCCCCTCCTCCTCCTCCTCCTCCGCCTCCTCCTCCTCCTTCTCCTCCTCCTCCTCTTCCACCTTCTTCTCCTCTTTGGCTGGATTCTCCATGCCCTCGGTCGGCAATCGTCGATCCTACGACGAATCTCCCCAACAGAGAAACATCGAAGGCCCTCGGAGCGTCCAACATTGTTCTTTTGTGCCTTCGATATGCCGGTCGCCTCTCGTCCGCTCCCCCCCTCCTGGAAGCAATTCTGAGGCCACTTAGGGCTTCGTGGGGGCCGTTTGGGGATCTCTTGGGGCGTTTTGCCTGCGATATGCCTGTCGCCTCTCGTCCGCTCCCCCGCTCCTGGAGGGAATTCTGAAGCCACTGAAGGCTTCGTGGGGGCCGTTTCGGAGCCTCTTCGGCCTTCTTTTGGGCCTCCCGGGGGGGCTCTTAGGGCCCTCTCGGGCCGTCTTGGGTGCCTCTTGGGCCGTCTTGGGGCCGTCTGAGGCCCGCCTCGGCGCCTCTTGGGCTGTCTTGGGCCGTCTTGGGCCGCTCCTGGGGCCGTCTTGGGTGCCTCTTGGGCCGTCTTGGGCGCCTCCTGGGCCGTCCTGGGGCCGTCCTGGGGCGTCTTGGGACCGTCTTGGGGGCCTCTTGGCCCGTCTTGGGGCTCTCTTGGGGTCCTCTTCGGCCGTCTTGGAGCGGTCGGGGGGAGTTCTTGGGCCGTCTTGGAGCGTCGGGAAGCCGAAGAGGCGAGGAGGCCGAAAACATCGAAAAACACAATAGAAATCGTCGATTTCTGTCGCTCGGGGCCCTCTTGGGAGGCCTCTTGGGAGGCCTCTTCAGGCGTCTTGGACGCCTCTTGGGCCGCCTGGGGCGAATCTCGGGCGTCTTGGGCCCATCTTTAAGCGTGCCGGGGCTCTCCGGGGCCGTCTTGGGGGCTTCTGGGGGCCCTCTCGACATGTCCTGGAGCCTGCCTGGGCGGCCCGGGGCGGCCCGGGGCCAGCCCAGGGCGGTTTCGGTGCATTGGGGCCTGCGCCATTCTGGCACGCACTGGGCCCTGCAATGTAGTAGAGACTAGTGTGTATCCGTGGGGCAAATTCGCAGGTGCCCTGGCCAGGAACCCAGCGGGGCCATCTCGGTGCCATCTTGGGTCGTCTTGGGCACCTCTTGGGCCGCCTTGGGGCTTTCCCTGAGCTGTCTTGCAGCTCTCTTGGGCCGGCTTGAAGCCCTGCAGGAGGCCCTGGGAGCACCCAGACAACCTCGAAAAGTGCTCCAAGAAGGGGTGGTCGGGGGGGTCCACCGAGGCCCTCGGGGGCTCCAGAAGAGCCATCAAGACAGCACCCGTTTCAGACGCACGTATGCCTGCAATGTAGAAGAGACTCGGGCTAACCCGTGGACTACCGTCCACGAATGCCAATGGTCTGAGTGCGCTTGCTGCTGCTCATTGCTTCAGGATGCGCTGTTTGCTGGGTGAGTCTGACGGGGTCCAGAGCAGCGCTAGAGTTATCAGCGGCAGCAGATCCAGGGGCATGGGCAGTAGCACCAACAGCAGCTCCAGTAGCTACAGCAGCAGTGAGGCCCCGGTAGCAGCGGCAGCAGCTCCAGAAGCAACAGCAAGAGCTCCTGTGGTGGAGGAAAGCGACGACGGGGAGGAGAATGAGGAGGCCCAAGATGATTGAAACAAAACAACCCTCCACACCTCTTGGGACACGCTCGGCGCGGGCAGGGTTGCAGAAACAGCATTCCCAGGTGTCCGCGGCTGGATCGGACAGCTATTTTCTGCAACCCCTCCCCCGCGAGAGGTGTCCCAAGAGGATTAAGGTGTGGCTTATTCGAATCATCTGGTGCCCTCTGAAAACATTTCGGAGCCGTTTGGAAGGAGCTGCTCGAGGCCTTGCGGGAGCATGTGGTGCGTGTGTGTGTGTGTATTTGCGTGTGTGTGTGTGTGTTTGTGTGTACGTGTGTGAATATGTATTTATATATATATATATATATATATGTATCATTTATCTGTCTATAAATATATCGATATATCTATATATATAGATGTATCTCTCTCTATATATACACATATATATATATATCTGTTTGTCTACCTACATATATATATGCCTGTCTATATATCTCTATATACATACATATCTGTATGCATAAATATATACATGTATATATATATATGTCGATATATCTATCTATCTCTCTCTATATATATATATATATATCCATAGATCTACCTATCTATCGACATATATATATATATATATATATATGCGTGCAATCGTAGGGGCTCTCTTGGGAGCTCTCTGGGCGATCCCCCAGACGATTCGGCTGGCTTCTGGGGGCGGGTGGGGCGGGCCTTTGCCGGAGAAGCGATCGCAAGAGGAAGTGCGGACAGAAGCCCAAAGAATGCCGTCTCGATGGTTTTTCGTCCTCGTGGCCCGTGGCCCTCTCGGAGGCCCTACGGTAGAGGGAAACAATTAGTGAACACCCCCCCTGCCCCCCAAACTCAAAGTTGGCACGCGGGGGGGAGACTGCGGTCGAAGTGCAACTCATCAGACCCACCGCCAACTTTGAACATTGGGAGGAGGGGGAGGCGTTCACAGATGAATGTGGCATGAGTGTTCGCTAATTTTTTCCGAGGCCTGTATGGGAGCCGTGTGGGAGCCAGGTGGGGGGCCTCCTCGGGCCGCCGGGGAGCCCTCTTGCGCTGCAGCGGAGGGCCTATAGGGGGCCTCAACGGCCGGCCGCGGGGCCCCCTCGGGGCAGGACAGTGGCACCCCCCGCGAGCGGGGCCGCGGAGGCGCCGCCGCCGCCGCCGGGCCCCCGCGGGCGCAGCGAGTGCACCCAGCTGGCGCGCGGAGTGCCCAGCGTTGTACAGTCATCGGCCTGACCTAAGGAACGATAAATGAGGAACGAAGCCCCTTTTTATCCCAAGGAATTACGCATAAGGAACGATAAATAATAGATAACGCATAAGGAACTGTAAATAACGCATGCAAAATGTAAGGAACGACCGAGCCCCTTTTGAAAAGTAAGTGTTCCTTATTCAAGCCGCTCACTGTAGCATGGAAGATGACGTCCTGCTCCAGCTCAGCCTCCCGCATCTCGCAGAGGAGCGCCACGGCCCGCTGCCACTGCTCGCCATTCGCGCACGCGCTGATCCCGGCGCAGTAGCTGATGGCGTTGCGCTCCAGTTTCGCCGCCCGCATCTGGCTGAGGAGCGCCGCAGCCTGCTGCCACTGCTCGCCCTTCGCGCACGCGCTGATCCCAGCATTGTGGCTGACCAGTACACGTGGAGCAAATCCGCAGCTGCCCTGGCAAGGGAACGCGGCGACCCATCGTCTTGGGCGCCTCTTGGGCCGGAGGCCGCCCCGGGAGGCCCCAGGACCGCCCCCCGATGGCACCCGGGAGGCCTTCAGGGGCAGCCCCAGGGCGCTGGAACCATGTGAGGGAACAGGGCAGCATTTCCTCGCATGGCGGATTCCAGAAACCCAAAGCCCAAACACGATTTCATCTCTTGGGGGCGCATCTTTTGCATCCGTCGCCTTCCGCTGGCCTTCCGCCGGCGGAGGCGGCCTCACGTTACTTCCGCCGCCTTCCGCCAGGGAAGTGATGGCAACTCCTTCGATCCTCGAAAGCAAGGCCATGGATGGAACGCTCCACATGGTTCCGGCTCCCAGGCGCAGGGCCCCGGGCCGCCCCGGGAGGACGTGGAGCCGCCTCCAAATGGCACCTGGGGGGCCTTCTGGCCCGGCCTGGGGCCGTCTTGGGGCTCTCTGGAGCCATCTTGGGGCGTCAAGGGGGCTCTCTGAAGCCGCGTTGGGAGGTCTCTTGGCCCAGCCTGGGGCGATCTTGGAAGCTGTCAGGCCGTCGTGGACGCTGCGAGGGCCCAAAAGTCGAGCATGCTCGAAATGCAAGAAAGCCCTGCAGCGCACGCCATATTTTTGCACCGGAAGGCACTGGCTGGGCGCGCTCGTGGAGCGCTCTGGGAGCCCTGTGGCATCCGCAGGCCGTCCTGGGCTGTCTCTGGGCCCCCTGAGGCCGTCTGGACGCCACTTGGGGCCACCTTCAGGCCAGCCTCGGCCGTGTTCGAGGCATCCTCGGCGAGCTCGGAGGCCTCTTGGGCTCGCCTGGGCCGCCCCGGAGGCGCAGGCCCTCCCGGCAGGCCCTCCTGGCAGGCCCCCCCCCAGGCGCTGCCACCAGAGCAGCGCACCGCGCGCTGCTCCCTGGATGGACTAGAGGGCTGGGCTGTGGACTGCGCCCACGGAAGCTGCACGCGCTGGCTCGTGGCGGAGGGCATGCTGCCGAGTGGCGCTCACAGGCTGACGCGGGGCTCGAGCTCCGCATTCTGCGCCTGCTGCTGCGTGCGTGTGGCTGCCTGCTGCCGCCGCTGCACGTTCGTGCCGCTTGCTTGTCGCTGCCGCATGCCGTCGCTGTTTGTAGCTGCAAAATGATGCTGACGAGGGGTCGGACGTGCCATCTTGCCAGATGTTTGTTAAATTGAAACTCTTTGAGACGCCGGCTCCTGATTGGGTGGCCGAGAGGTTTGCAGAAAGGTTCCTGGATCGTTGGGGAAGCTCGCAGGGCGCTCCCGAGGAAGCCCAAGAGGGTTCCAAAAAGGCTCCAAGAGGGCATGACCTTTCACACGATTTTGACAACCGCTGTTGGGTCGGGGCTGCCATCTTGGCAAACTTTGTCAAATCAAAACAACGTCTAGGGCCCGTCCGGGGCTCGTGATTGGGCGGCCGAACGCCTCGCAGAAGGGCTTCGAGATCGCTGGTGAGGCTCGCAGGGCGCTCCCAGGGCGCTCCCGGGAAAACCCAGGAGGGCTCCAAGAAGGCTCGAATTAAATAACAACTCAACAAGGAACCCTGCTGGATTAGGGGGCTGTTCTGTTGGATGTCTGCCAAAAACGAAGCTCTCTGGGGCGTGTCAGGAGCTCTGGGCCCTCTCTCTTGGAGGCAGTTTGGAAGCCTCTTGGGGCCTCTTGGGGCCTGGTTGAAGGCTTTTTGTTCGGGGCTCATCAGAGCTTTTTGGGACCCACTTGGGCAGCCAGGCCCTCTTGGCCAATGGTGTGTGTGTGGCCCTCTAGGGCCACTGGGGGGCCGTCTCGGAGGCCTCTTGGGCCGTCTTGGGGCCATGGCGGGGGTCTGGGGCCGTGGGGCCGTCGGGGCGCCCAGCTCGGTCCCTCTCGGGCAGCTCCTGGGGGGCCCTCTTGGGGCCGTCGCGGGGGTCCACACGAGGCCAGGTCGAGCCATCTGGGGCCCCTTCTGGGCCGTCCTGGGGGCCCGCTCTGGCCGCTTTGGTGGGCTCCTCGGGGCTACTCTTCGGCCGGCTTGGGGCGCTCTCGGAAAGACCTGGATCCGTGTGGACCAGTCTGGGCCCGCCGTGCGGAGGATGTGAACCAAAACGGTGAAATCGTCCGGCTCTTGACCGATGGATGTTTGCCTCCCGGGGCTGTCCTCGGTGTCCTCGCGGGCCGTCCGTGGGGCCTCCCGGCGGATTTCTGGCCCCCCTTGCGACGCTAGGGCCTCTAGGGGGCTCGCCTAGGAGGGGCCTCCTGGTCTGGCCTGCCGTCTTCTCTCCAGAGCATGAGACCTGCCCTGGGGCCGTCCTGGGCCAATGTTGGGGCCATCGGGGGGGTATCGGGGGACCCGCTGCAGCCGGGCGGTTCGCCCCTTTCGCCCGCGCTTCGCCCAAGAGTGCAGTACAGATGACGTCCGGCTTCAGTTCAACCTCCCGCATGTCGCTGAGCAGCGATAGAGCATGCTGCCACTGCCCGCCCTTCTCGCACGCGCTGATCCCAGCGTTGTAGCTGACTAGGGCTGACCCGTGGACTCCGTCCACGACATCTTTCTGGAATGGTTCTCGGAGGTACGGCGCAGATTGCACCGAAAATCTACAAACACGGCGGCGGCTCGGGCGGCGGCAGCGCTCCAGCAGCTTGGCCCCAGCGCACTGCTCGTTCACCCCCCTCCTATTGAGGGCAGTTTCGAAGTCTCTCGGGGATGTGCGTCGAAGTCGAAGCCCATCTGAGGCGTCTCAGGAGCGCCCGGGGAAGGGCTCGGGAGGCCATCGGGGAAAGCCACCGAAAGCCCCAGGTGCTCGTCCGAAGAGTGCGGAGAGGTCCCTGGGTCATATCGATTGGCTGCTGTCCCAGGGGTCCGGTCTGGTTGGCCCGAAGAGTTTGCCAAGGCCCCTGGGGGAACAGAATGGCACAGCATATCGGGCAAAGGGGGGCGGTAGCTGGCCTGTCAGACCAGCGTTCGTCTTCTGCCCAGGCGGCGCGGGGCCCACGGGCCCCAGAGTTGGCGGCCCGCTGGGTTTCCTCTTGTTCGCCCACAGGGTTGGGGGAGGCCTCCAGGCCAACATAATGGGGCAGGACAATGAATGTGGGAGACTTGTCGCAAGCTCCCAGCCCCCCCAAGTGTTCGCCCGAAGGGTGTGGGGCCGCGTTTGCTCCCTCAAAGGGCCGTCTTGGAGCCGTCTAGGCCCGTCTTGAGGGCGCCGTTTGCCGTGATGGGGCCGTCTTGGTTCGTCGTGGGCCCCTCATGGGCCGTCCGTAGGCCGTCCTGGGCCCATCGGGGTCCTCGTGGGGCTGTCTTGGAGCCGTCTGGGACCGTGAGGGGGCCGCCTTGGAGTCGTCTTGGGCCCCTCCTGTGCGCCTCCTTGGGCCGTCCTGGGCCCAGCAGGGGCCGTCTTGGCACCCTCTTGGGGCTGTCTTGGGGCCGTCTTGAGCCGTCGCAGCGCGCCGTGGGTTGTGCTGGGTCCGTGGCGGCCTCTGTTGGGGCCTCGTTGGGGCTCCTTGGGAGCCTCCTGGGGCCTCTTCGGGGGATTCTTGGCGGCCCCTTGGGGCCTCTTGGGGGCCTGTTTGGGCCTCCTGGCGCCCTCTTGGGGCGGAAGGCTCGGATTTTCGGTCCGTGGTCCTCCTCTTGGTCCCCTCTTGGGCCTCTCTTCGGGCCCTCGTGGGCCGTCTTGAGCGTCTCTTGGGTCGTCTTGGGGCCCTCTTGGGCTGTCTTGGGGCGCTCTTGGAGGCCTCTTGGGCCGTTCTGGGGCGCTCTTGGAGGCCTCTTAGGCCGTCTTCGAGCGTCGGGAAGCGGAAAAGACGAGAAGGCCAAAATCCTTCCCAAACCGTCGTAAACTGGATGATGTTGGCCGCTCGGGGCCCTCGGGGAATACGCTTGCAGGCCTGGGCTCCTTGAGCTGTCTTGGGGGCCTCTTGGGGCCTCTGGAGCCTCTCTGGGGCCGCCCGGGGCGTCTTTAAGCCCCGTGGGACCTCTTGGGGACCTCTTTCGGGCTCCTGGGGGCCTCTTGGGCCTCTCTGGGCCCGTCTATCGCGCCCCTTGGGTTGTCTTGGGGCCCCCTAGGGCCTTCTTGGGCGGTCCTCGGGCCGTCTTGGAGCCGTCTTGGGCCGCTCTTCGGGCCATCTTGGGGTCCCGGTGGCCTGTCTTGGGCGCCTCTGGGGCCGTCCTGGGGCCGCCTTGGACCGTCTTGGGGCCCTCTTGGACCGTCTCGGGGTCCTGCTGGGGACCTCTTCGACCGTCTTGGAGCGGTCTTGGATGCCTCTGGGGGGGTTTGTGAGCGTCGGGAAGCCGAAAAAGCGAGGAAGCAAAAAACCTCGGACAAAAAACAATAAAAATCAACGATTTTGGCCTCTCGGGGCTCTCTTGGGATGCCTCTTGGGAGGCCTATTGGGCCGTCTTGGGGAGCTCTCGGGCCGTCTTGGGCCAATCTTCTTGGGGAGCTCTCGGGCCGTCTTGGGCCAATCTTGGGCGTCTTGGCCGGATCACTGCGCGTCTCGGGGCCCTCCTGGGCCGCCTTCGGGGCATCTTGAGCGGCTCGGAGCCGTCTTCGGGCCGTCGGGGCGGCCTCCGGAGCGTCTCGGAGCCGTTTCCCGGCATTTGGCTGGAGTTCCTTCCGGCACGCGCTTCCTCCGGCCATATAGTATAGACTACACCCTGCGAAATGCTTAAGAAACCATGGGTTAAGAAATTCAGAGTCTCAGAACTGGAATAAAAACCCAGAACTTCTATCAAAATCTTGGGATTTACATTGGCAAGTTAAGAATAATCAAGACTCTGGCCGAAAACTTAGGTTTTCTTAAGCATCGCCTAAGGTGTAAGGCAGACCCGTGGGCTACGTCCACGTGCGGCGTGTGGGGGCCCCTGGGGGGTGTCATTACAACGCGGAGCTCGACCCGCGCCTTCGGTGCGTGCCTCTGCGTGGTGTTGCTTGCTGCCGCTGTTGCATGGTGCTGGTAATGCTTGCTGCTGCTGCGTGTCGTTGCTGCTTGTGGCTGAAGAGTGCTGCTGATGGCAACGTCTGCTTGGTGCGTGCTACTGACCGCCACATGCTGCTGCTGCTGCTGCTGCTGTTGCTGGTGCTGCGCGCTGACGCCATTGCTGGTCGCCTGCTTCGTGTTTCGTGCTGCTGCCTTCGGGCTGTGGGGGCCTCCTGGGCCGCCCCGGGATGACCTGGAGCCACCCCGAGGCTCCGTCAGGGCCAGGGCGGAACTCAAGAAGCAGCCGTGGGCCTTCCTTGCCAACGATGCTCCGTGGTGGCCGTGGCCGCCCGCGGAGGTCGGAGGATGCGCGCGGGCTGCGTGGGCCGGGCAGAAGATCGAAGGCGGCACTGCGGAGCAGGCCCCCAGTGGTCAGCCTGTCCGGAGCACTCTCGGGAAAGAGCTCCCGGACGAGTCGCACACAGCAAGGAGCTCGACCACGAGAGACCTTCCGCAAGAAACCCAACCCTGAGACCCAGGACGTCCGTTGATATTTTTGGTGTGGGGACGTCACGCTGCCCATCGCAAAACCAAACCATCGAAAACCGAGAAACCCAGGGCACCCTGGAGGCAAGAAGGGTGCTTCTCGGCGTGGGTTTCCACTGCATCCGGACCGCATGCATTTGCAGAGGGGGGGAGAAAACAGGAGACGCACGGGCGCCTTCTTTTCCTGTGTGGCCGGGGCGGGCCCCGCGCTCTCTGAGAGACCTTCCCCTGGAAGCCTCCTGGAGGCGGTTTTGGGGGGCGTCGTGCAGCCTCTCGAGGGTCTCTTCGGACCTGCTTTGGGCCTCTCGGGGGGCCTTCTGGGGGGCCAGCTGGCGGTTTCGGGAAGCATCGTGGAGCGGAGGGCGCGAACTGTCATGTCAGCTCGAGTTCGCCCTCGTGGGGCCCTCTTGGGGCCGTCTTGGGGGCTTCTTGGGCCGTCCTGGGGCGCTCTTGTGCTGTCTGGGAGCTCCCGTGGGGGCCTATTGGGAGCTGGCTTGGAGCGTCGAGACACCGAAAAGGCGAGAACGCTGAAACCTTCAAAACCCAATGGGAAACCAATGACTTTGGCCTCTCGGGGCCCTTCTTGGGCGCCTCTTGGGCCGTCTTCTGGCACTGTGGGGCCTTCTGGGCTCTCTGGGGGGCCTCTTGGGGACCAGCTGGCGGGTTCGCGGATCATCCTGGAGCGGAGGGCGCGAAATGTTACTTCGAGTTTCCCCTCGTGGGGCCCTCTTGGGGTCGTCTTGGGCTGTCCTGGGGTCGTCTTGGGCTGTCTTGGGGCTGTCTTAGGCTGTCTGGAAGCTCTCTGTAGGGCCTCTTGGGTCAGCTTGGCGCGATCTTGGGTGCCCTGGGGCCGGTTCGGAGCGTCGAGACTCCGAAAAAGCGAGAACGCTGAAACCCATCGAAACTATGGGAAACCAATGACTTTGGCCTCTCGGGGCCCTTCTTGGGAGCCTCTTCTAACCTTCGAACCCTCTTGGACCGTCTTCCGGCACTGTGGGGCCTTCTTGAGCGTCTGGGGGGCCTCTTGGGAGCGAGCTGGCGGTTTCTGGGATCATCCTGGAGCGGAGGGCGCGAGATGTTACGTCGAGTTCCCCTTTCGTGGGGCCCTCTTGGGCTGTCTTGGGGTCATCTTGTCCGTCTTGGCGCCCTCTTGGGCTGTCTGGGAGCTTTCTTGAGGGCTTCTTGGGCCATCTTGGCGCGATCTTAGGGGCCCTGTGGCCGGCTTGGTCACCTGATTGCCTGGAAAGCGAAGCCTTTTCGGGCAATCGAGATCTAGAGGCGAACCTCCGAAGTGTGAAGAATGTGCAACCTCTCTGCTCCCCCGCCTCACGATACCGTGAAACAGCGGATAGGCCGGCACACCCAAAAAGGCTGCAGAGCGTCTCGGAGCACGTCGTGCGAGCCTCTTCTTCTGCCCGCTTCATGCCCCATCGTCCTGCACTTTTTGTTTCCCCAACGTCTTCTTGCCACGCTTGCTCCCATCGCGATTCGTGCTTTCTGTGTCTTCAGGATGGCCCGCGAGGGTTGGCGGCTTTGTTAGCCGTGCCTTGCCTGCTGCCCGCCCTTCCGCAATCTTCCGCATCCTCACACTCGGCCTCCCAAGCTCGCTTGCTTCGGGCGCGGTACCATCCTTCAGGCCTCCCTCTCACGCCAGGGTTGCGCAGAGTCTGGCTCGAGCAACATGCACCTCGTGACCGGCCCACTCCCACGTGGCACCTGCCATCCCTCCGCTCCCCAAGGCAGCGATGGCCCTACTTCGGGCGTTGGCAGGACTGGGTTGGGCGGGACCCGGTTTGGTGCTGTGTGCTGGAGGACGCGCCCCCCGCCCCGTTCCACTCACCGGACCCGCCGCCACCCGAAAATACCAGAAAAAACACCAGCTATACGGCAGACCCGGTTTCGTGATTCTGGCCAACATTAGGGGCTCCGGGGCCCTCCTGCTAACTGGGCCCCCTTATCTGGTGTCCTGGCTCAAGGGAACAAAAAGTGACATAAACATAACAACTCGGAGGTCCGCGCGGATTTCCCGGATCGGCGCAGGGGCCCCCTCCCTGGCGCGCGAAGCGCGCCAGGGGCGGTTGAGACGGGAGAGGGAGGGCACTAGACGGAACGGAAAAGGAGGAGGAGGAGGAGGAGGAGGAGGAGGCGGAGGAGGAGGAGGAGAGGGGTGATGAGAGAAGAGTCTTCTCCCTCCGTTTCCTGCGGATCTCCGTCCGCGTTCGACTGCCCCCTCCTCCCTCTCAACCTCTTGCCTCCACAGCCCCCTCCTCGCGCTGTGCTCCTCATCTGCCTTCTTGGATGTCTGGTGGGACCCTCCCGGGGGGCCTTTTGGAGGCGGTCTGGAAGCGTTCTTGGGACGACCTTTTGGGGGCCCCTCGTGGGGCCTCCTCGGGGCTCTTCGGAGCCTCTTGGAAGACTCTTTGGGGCCTCGTGGGTGCCTCTCCGGGCGTCTTGGGAACCTCTGGGAGCCCCTTGGGGCCTCTCGGGGCACCTCTTCGGGCTGAACCTCTCGATGGCAAGATCGGCAACTTCGCGAGGGTGGCGTACAGAGCGGCAGGCGCTACACACGATGCGGTGGCGGAGAAGTGGCTCGGCCGATATCCGCTAGCAGCATAGGGGCACCTCTCGGGGGCCTTTGGCGGAAGCCTCGGAAGCGTATCGGAGGCGAAAAAGCGTGAAGATACTTACAAATCACACATTCCCCTTGTATGTAGTAAAAACAAATGTTGGCCTCTCGAGGGCTTTCTTGGAGCACTCCTGGGCACTCCTGGGGGCCTCTTGGAAGCGTCTCGGGGCTCCCTTGGGCGATCCTGGCCTCTTGGAGCTCTCGCAGGGCAGTCCTGGGACATCTTGGGGCAATGTTGGGAATCTCCTGGGGACCTTTTGGGGCTACGAGGCCATCTTGGAGCTAAATACAAGAAATGAGAGCTCGAGAAAGTGGATGAAAGCTGTAAGATGTTCCAGATGTCCCTACGGCTTTTGACAAAGTCGGCCCTTGAGAAATCATGTGTGGAGGTTCTAGCCGCCTCTCGGGGCCGTCTCGGGGCCCCTTCGTAGCGCTGAGCGCCTCCTGGGGGAGCTCGGGGGCCTCCTGGGACGGCCTTGGGGCTCTCCTTGAACTTCTGCGGAGCTCCAGGCGCCTCCTGGGGGAGCCCGGAAGGCCCTAGGAGGGATCTGATACGTTGGGCCCATCTTTTGGGCGGCATCTTGGCGCCCTCCTGGGAGCTCTGTGGAGCTCTCCGCGGTGCCTCGGGCCTGCCCGCAGGCCCGCTGGGGGCCCCTCTCCGCGTGACCACCTCGAGGGCGCGGGGGTGCTTGGGCGCTGCGGCCTCCCAGATCGCGCACGCCCCGAACTTTTATTGCGTCGGCGGCGGGCGAGGCCGAGGCAAGCTGCACCGGCGGCAGGCGACCCGGGACAACCGACGAGCGGGTTGGCCAGCATGCAGGAGGAGAGAAGGAGACAGACAGGCGCACGCCCTGAGCGCTCGGCCTCCTCTTTCTCTCGCGGCCGCCCGGGGGGCCCTCTCGAGGCTCCGCGTGGCGGCCCTCTGGGGCTATGGCGGTGCGCTCGTGGAGTCTCCCGCTCGGGCGCCTCCTGGGTGCGCGGGGTTCTCGAGGCCGTGCCTTGGGGCGGCCTGGCGCCACCTTGAAACTCTGTTGGGGCCGTCTTGGGGGCCGCTGTGGGCCATATTGGCGGCGTCCTGGGCCCTCTCCTGCTGCTGCTGCTGATGGCGGTCGTGGGCCTCCCTCCCTCTCCTCCTCCTCCTCCTCCCTCTCCCTCTCCTCCTCCTCCTCCTCCTCCTCCTCCTCCTCCTCCTCCTCCTCCTTCCTCCTCCCTCCGCTCCTCCTCCTCCTCCTCCTCCTCCTCCTCCTCTGAATCACTTGGAGCCCACGCGGACCCCGTGAGCAGCCCCTGGGAGACGAAGTCCAGAGCCACGCCGCGCTCAGAGGCGAACCGCGACGGAGAGAGACACAGCACCTCATATCACGGGCCCGACGACCTTCGCCGCCCCCGGGGGGGCTCCTCGCGGACAGCTTTGGGGGGCTGCCGCTGGGGCGCCCGAGGGAGCCCTTGGGGCCCGCACTTCCGAGGCCGCTCCAGCGAGAAAGGCCACTCTTACGTGCATAGGTCGAGAGGGGGGCCTCTCTCGAGCGCTCACCCCCGGCGAAGGGCGCCCGCCCCCCGACCCCCTTCCCCCGGAAAGCCCTCCCGACCCCTCCTGATCCCTCCCGACCCCTCCCGACCCTGGCCATCGCTCGAACGTCCATTCCCTGTGCTTTTTCGGTTTCGTGCGTGGTTTTTTCGCCAAATGATCAAGGATGCTCCTCGATGGTCCTCGCCGAAGGAAAAATGCACACGTCCGAGCGACCCCTCCTCAAAAGGGCTGCCGCCCAGCGAACCCTCCTGGGAAACCCCCTCCTGGCCTTCCCGTGGCCCCCCCTGCGCGGGGCACTTCGGCTCCCAGGGGGGCGCCTTCTGCGAGCCGCTCGGCGCGCGGCCGGAGCGCCCTGCGCTCGTGGCGCGCGGGACCGGGAGCCGGCACCGCCTTCCGATCTCGCGCGGGCTGCGCCCGGAGTCGTGACACGGATGGGGCCTTCCCAGAGTGGCCTTGCAAGACCATTTTTGGAACGCTGCATCCGTATCGAACTCTCGAAGGCAGCTCCTTCGATCCTCGAAGGAGTTGCCATCTCTTCCTCTCGGCGGCGAGCGAGAGGGGGGGGGAAATGAGAAGGAGAAGGCCTTCTCAGAAGGCGGCCGGCCTTCTCAGAAGCGCTCGCGCCTTCTGAGAAGTTTGTTATGCATTTTCGGGGAGGGCTCAGACAACTTCTCAGAAGGCTGGGGGACTTCCGCGCCTTCTGATACGGCCCGCCCCTTCTCACTTCCCCCCTCTCGCTCGCCGCCTATCCTCGGCGGAAAGCTGCGGAAGGCTGGCGGAATGCGGCGGAGGTACTAAAGATGCGCCGATGAGAGATGACAGCATTTTTGGGGTCAGGGTTTCTGGAATCGGCCAGATCACGCCAGGCTGCAACTTCGCCTCCCGCATCTCGCCGAGCAGCGCCAGAGCCCGCTGCCACTGCTTGCCCTTCTCGCACGCGCTGATGCCGGCGCTGTAGCTGACCAGGGCTGACCCGTGGGCGTCGAGACGGATGCAGCCCACGTGCTACCGCAAGGAAGCCAGCATGTGCTCTTCTGGCCACGTCTGGCCTCGACCACGAACGGGTTCCCTGGCCTGGATCTGAGGAGCGGCCAAAAAACAGCTCCTCCAGAGCCCGAAGGAGTCTTCAATCCAGCGTCTGACCTGCACCTGCTCGAACTGGCACGTTGACGAAACAACAACAACAACAACAACAACAACAACAACAACAACAACAACAACAACAACAACAACAACAACAACAACAACAAACATTTTACCCGAACGCGTGGTGTTCTCCCCAGTGCCAGGGTTTTCATACGACACCAGGCAATACCCCCACTTCGTGGGGGGGCATTACAAGCTCTACCAAATATCCAAACGACTCTTCGCGACCACCCAAACCCAGCTTCCGCCCTATGACGTGGGACACTTCATCTGGCGTGCGCGCCGACCGTGGCGTACTACATAGAGATCTGGTAACACCACAGACTTTGTCACTTATCGTGGGCGCGCCTGTACAGGCATGGTTGCAATGTGCCATGCGGGCAACCATGCGCGGATTGGTATTATTTGACAGGGATGATGCCCTGGCAGGTGCGCAACCGTTGTCGTAGAAGTTCGAAAAAGTTGCTCGCAAAAGCCCGTTTGACAGAAATGTTTAAAAAGTGTTGGTTTTCCTACGAATCCGCAAGAGCGCGCGGGATGAGATTTTGACATTTTTTTGTTGAAAAACATTGGTTTTTTGATGTTTTTATGTTAAAATCGCTCCGAACACTAAGCTTTTGGAAGGATTTCGTCTTGCGCGCGCGAATGTCCACTTTACCTTATTTTTTTGCAAAGGATTCTTTAAATTTGATTATATTAGAACAAGAAATGTCATTTTATAGTGGTTTTTGCAAGGGAAAGCGGGGGGGAACAAAACAACCGGATCTTGATCACATCGAATTACCTGAGGCTTCCTCACGAAAATGATGAAAATGTAGCTGCGGCCTAGGCGGCGCAGGGGGGCCGTGCACCAGGGGCCCCAACAATAATTATTCTTTAGAATAATAATGTTCAACAACAACAACAACAATTACTAGCACGTGGGGACACACAGTTCTCACCAGTGCCAGGGTTTTCATAGGAGGCGGGCAATACCCCCACTTTGTGGGGGGGCCGGTTCAAGCCTCTACCAAATTTTCCAAAACGAAGCTTCGCCAACACCCACACCCAGCTTCCCGCCCTATGGACGTCGGACAATTAAATTCGTGGCACCATGCAGGAACTGAGACGTGGCTACTATCAGGGCCAACGAGGCCAGACGAACGACCGGCTACGTTAAGCAGATGCCAGCGCGAAAGAAAAGAAGAAATAAAACGAAAATGGTTCACGCATGGTATTATTTGACAGGGATGAATTGGCCCTCATTGCAGACTCTTCACCGTGTTTTTATCCATGCTCGGTTGACAGACAGTTCACGCACAAAAAGTTGCTCCGTAAAAAGCCCGTGTTTGACACAGAAATGATTTAAAAAGGTGTTGTGAGTTTTCCTACTCAACGAATCCGCAAGAGCGCGCGGGATGAAAGTTTGACAATTTTTTTTTGACAAACCATTGGTTTTTTGATGTTTGTATGTTAAAATCGTTACGAAAACAAAGGTTTTGGAAGGATTTCGTCTTGCGCGCGCGAATGTCCACTTTACCTTATTTTTTGCAAGGGATTATTGAAGTTTGGTTATGTTAGAACAAGAAATGTTCACTTTAGTTTATTTTTTGCAAGGGAAAACCGCCCGTAACAAAACAACCGGATCTGGATGACATCGTTTTACCTGAGACTTCCTCACGAAAATGATGAAAATGTGGCTGCGGCCTAGGCGCGGCGAGGGGGGCGTGCACCAGGGGGCCCAACAATAATTATTGTTTACAAGTAATAATGTTCAACAACAATTACTAGCACGTGGGGACACACCGTTCTCACCAGTGCCAGGGTTTTCATAGGAGGCGGGCAATACCCCCACTTTGTGGGGGGGCCGTTTCAAGCTCTACCAAATTTCCAAACGACTCTTCGCCACCACCCACACCCAGCTTCCCGCCCTATGACGTTCGGACACTTCACTTCGTGGCATGCGGACGACCGTGGCTACTATTTCAAGGCCCCGCGGCCGACGACGACGGCGTGCGCGCGCGAAGAAAAAACGAATGTGTCCCGCATGGTATTATTTGACAGGGATGATGGCCCTGGCAGGTGCGCAACCGTTGTTGCAGAAGTTCGAAAAAGTTGCTCGCAAAAGCCCGTTTGACAGAGATGATTAAAAAGTGTTGGGTTTCCTACGAATCCGCAAAGAGCGCGCGGGATGAAAGTTTGACATTTTTTTAAAAGAAAAAAACCATTGGTTTTTTGATGTTTTTATGTTAGAATCGCTAGGAAAACTCAGGTTTTGGAAGGATTTCGCCTTGCGCGCGCGAGTGTCCACTTTACCTTATTTTTTGCAAGGGATTCTTGAAGTTTGGTTATGTTAGAACAAGAAATGTCCACTTTAGCTTTTTTTTGGCAAAGGGAAACCGATCGTAACAACGCAACCGGATCCGGACCAACCCGTTTTGCCTGAGACTTCCTCACGAAAATGATGATGAAAATGAGGCTGCGGCCTAGGCGCGGCGGGGGGGTCGTGCACCAGGGGCCCCAACAACAATTATTCTTTAGAAGTAATAATGTTCAACAATTACTAGCACGTGGGGACACACCGTTCTCACCAGTGCCAGGGTTTTCGTAGGAGGCGGGCGATGCCCCCACTTTGTGGGGGGGCCGGTTCAAGCTCTACCAAATTTCCAAACGACTCTTCGCCACCACCCACACCCAGCTTCCCGCCCTATGACGTTCGGACACTTCACTTCGTGGCATGCGGACGACCGTGGCTACTATTCAGGGCCCCGCGGCCGACGACGACGGCGTGCGCGCGCGAAGAGAAAAAACGAATGTGTCCCGCATGGTATTATTTGACAGGGATGATGGCCCTGGCAGGTGCGCAACCGTTGTTGCAGAAGTTCGAAAAAGTTGCTCGCAAAAGCCCGTTTGACAGAAATGATTACAAAGTGTTGGGTTTCCTACGAATCCGCAAGAGCGCGCGGGATGAAATTTTGACAATTTTGTTTTGAAAAACATGGGTTGTTTGATGTTATGTTAGAACAAGAAATGTCCACTTTAGCTTATTTTTTGCAGGGAAAACCAATCGTAACAACACAACCGGATACGGGACCAACCCGTTATTGCCCTGAAGACCTCTCTCTCGCCCCAGATAGAAAAATGAGGGCTGCGGCCTAAGGCGCGGCGGGGGGTCGGCCCCAGGGGCACAAACAATAATTATTTCTTTAGAAGTAATAATGTTCAAAAACAAACAACAACAACAATAATTTTACCCGAACGCTCTGTGTTCTCCCCAGTGCCAGGGTTTTCTTGCGACACCAGCCAATACCCCCACTTCGTGGGGGGGCCGTTCAAGCTCTACCAAATATCCAAACGACTCTTCGAGACCACCCACACCCAGCTTCCCGCCCTTTGACGTTGGGACACTTCACTTCGTGGCGTGCGGACGACCCTGGCTACTACACTGGCGTGGGGTACACACCCACAGAGGTTGATCACATCTGTTACATATGATGTGGTACAAGGTACACGTGAGATGGTACGCAGTGCCAAGATAGTTGGTCACATTTTTGGGGCAAATTCGTGGGGATGCGATTACAGAAGTACATGTGTTACACTGATGTTATACAGTCCAAGGATGACGCATGCATTGCTCATAGACTCATGGCGCTATGATCCTAACTCTCAGTGCCCAACGCGCGCGTGCACAGCCAGACGGAGGGAGAGAAACACATGTATACAAGTTTCGTGACATACGCACGGTCCACCATGTTGTAAACGATCGCATGCACGGTAAGTTCTGAAATTATACGTATGTACAAGCAGACATGCGAGGGAGAAAGGGAGATGGCCATCGACAGTTCCAATACGGCTCAAGGCGGAAGAGGGGGAGGAGGAGCAGGACAAGGAGGAAAGGAGAGAAGCGAGAAAGGAAGAACGCAGACGGCGCGGCTCTGGACACAAAGGGGTGCCATACTTTCTCCTGCTTTCGCAAACAGGTCCAGTCACACGTAGGGGTATACTCAACCGAATGGTATTCGCATCCAGAAGCATACTAAAGGCGCGACGCATCGTCGTCTGCGATGGCGCGGAGCGGGCGCGTGGGTGCCCGGCTGCCTGGTGACTAGCATTGATACCCTTTGCCCGGAGCGCCTGATGCAAATAATACGCACTCTCGCAGTCGGCCAAGGGAGGCCGCGACAGCTCAGGGCCATACTGCTCGTGAAGGTCTTTCGCCGTCAAAGCCATGATCCAAGAACACAGGCGAAACCTTGATCCGAGATGGCTACGGATATGTGCGTCAGCAGTCGGGGGCCTTCCTGGGGCCGCTTGGGGTCCTCTTGGGGAAGGGGGGAAGCCTCCTGGCGCGGTTTGGGGTCCACTTGAGAGCCTTTGGGGGGCTCCTTGGAACCACCTTGGGGCCTCTTGGGGGCTTATTGGACCCTCACGGCGGACTCTTGGGGCCTCTAGAACGCCTCCTGGGGCCATCTTAAGGGTCTCTTGGAGCCACCTTGGAGCCTCTCTGGAACCTCTTGGGGGCCTCTTGGAGTCCTCTTGAAGCCTCTTGGGACCATCTTGGGCGCCTCTTTGGGCCTCATGGACGCCTCTTGGGGCCATCTTGCGCGCCTGTTGGGGCCATCTTGGGTTTTGAAGATTCATCAAGAGACCGCGAATGGATTTCGAGACTTTTCGGATGAGAAAGTAGTGCGTTTTCATATGTTTTCTGAACATCGCATCTTGAAATTATTGAAAACCCATTGTGTTTGGCAGGATTTCGACATGCGCGCGCGGCGGCCGCGCGCATGTGCACTTCGTCTCATTTTTTGCAAGGGATGGTGGCCCTCGCAGGCGCGCAACCGTTGTTGGAGAAGTTCAAAGCACCTGAAGAAGTAGCACGCAAAGACCCTTTTGACAGAAATGTTTAAAAAGTGGTGTGTGTTCCTATGAATCCGCAAGAGCGCGCGGAAGGACATTTTGACATTTTTTTCTTAAAAAACCATTGGGTTTTTGATG